CCCATCCCCCCCCGCCCTCCATGCCGTACTAACCACCTCAGCCTGCTGCCCCGCCCACTCCCCAAACCGCGCCATCAACCTCCTCCGCATCCCCGCATCCCTCCCCACCATCACAGCCCACCCTTCAATAACCTCATCCGTCAACCCCGTCTCAGCACGCAACCTCGCCCTCTCAACCCCCTTGCGCACTTCATTCTCCCGCGCAAATACCCTCTTCCCCGGATCTGTCGCCGCTAGCCATGTGCGGAAGAGGATACCCTCCGCTGTATCGGACAATGTTCCAGTTGTAGTCGCACTGCCGACATCGTCGTCTGCACCAGGACCGGCGGGTACCGTCCCCCCAACATCAGCCGCGTCATAGGTATCGTCGCGTTCGTCGTCGTCGGAGTCGAAGGCGGCCAGGGCGGAGAGCACGGCGGCTTTGTGGGAGGCGGGTTTGGGGGCGGCCAGTAAGGTGTCGGCGTTGCCGGGGCGTTTGCCGATGTGTAGACTCCCGAGGGGGGCGTTGAGGATGGCGTCATCTGAGTCGTCTTCGGTGAGGTTGGTGGCTGGGTGAAGGGGAGGCGTGGGGCGTGGGATGAGGGAGGATCGGCGGGGTTGTGGAGTGGGTTGCGAAGGAGAGAGGTCTTCGGTGCGGTCGGCGGTTTGGAGGTGTTGTGGCAGGGAATCGTCGAGGAGGTGGGAGATGACGATTTCAGGGGAGTCGGAGTATTCGTCGAGCAGCTTGGCGATGAATCCCGTGCCGAGGTCTGGGAAGAGGTCTTGGACTTGGGAGATTTGGCTCATGCGGTGGATATGGATTTCTTGTTGGACTTGGGCGTCGTCGAATTCGGCGAGGCCTTTGCCTTTGTCGACTTTGCGCTTGATCAAACGCTTGGGCTTGGTGATGCCGCTGCCTGCTTTCTTGAAGGTACCGAGCTGGGTGAGAACAGTCTTAGCCCGGGTTGAGGTGCCCGGGGTCTGCTCGAGTCGGCGTTGTAACCTTTGGAGTAATGGTGTGGATGTGACGAGCTCGGCAACGAGAGAGTCGTTGACGTTAAGTGGACCGGTCCTGTGTGTTTCCGCAGCCGCTTTAAGAGAGTAAAGCTGGTCGGTCAAGGACGACAGTTTCTGGCCTTCCGCCAGCCCCGTGAGGCAGAGGTACGTCGTAGCAATCAGGACCTTCCGGAGCGGGGGATTCGTAATCTTATAGCAGCTGATTAAACCGTCCACGAAGTCGCTCCCGGCTAGAAAGAACTCGGCAACAGGGGGCGAAACACGAATCAAGTCGTTTACGCGTTCTAAACGTTCTTCAATGCCTTTGAGATCCCCGCCATCAAGACCGGCGTCGAGGTTTTTGATCAGGAACTTTTTGAGAGCAGCCAAAGACGAGTCCAGACCGGTTTTGGAAGAAGCAGGTAGACCGTCGAGTACCGGCAAGACCTTGTTGTGGCCATATAACCTGCTCAGATCTGCTGCCAACTCCCACTGCAATAATTCGCTAGGCACCGACGGCGACTGAAGTAACCTGGTAGTGACTTCGAATGTCGTTTTTAACAGCCTTTTGGCAGCTTGGGATGGTCCTAAAATGGCGATACCTCCTAACGCAACTTCCCGAGTAAAGCTCGTGAGAAAGCCTGGTAAGCTATCATCCTTGCTTGAAACGGTCGTAAACTCGGAGTCAGATAGTGAGAGGTGGCTGTCAAGAAGAGCCTGCCAGGCACCAAGACAAGCGGTCCATTCATCGGGTGGGAGTTGGTCCCGCCATGTCGATATGGGAAATAGTGCGAATGCGGGCAGTCGTGAAGCCATGGTGTTGAGAGACCTTCAGGGGTAAGGGGTGTTGTCCAAACAATGGGTCGCCTGGGTGTAATTGCTAAGTAAATAATTTATGCCCTCAGCAGGAGCACTGAAGAAACTCGAACCTGTGAGTTTTAGCAAGCGAAAAAAACAAATCGGGAAAACCTAAAATTTTGCCTACTGGCCACAATGCCACAGCTTTTCTGATCGCCCAGCAGTTCGGCGAAGAATGCCTCTTTATGATGGGTGTCTTGTTGCGGTAGGGCCTTCTGTACGGAGTACCAGGGTGGGACGGAGCTCACCGGATGCGTCACTGACCGTGGGGCGGGCCACAAGCCACATTCCAGAGCTTAATGCACCGCCACCGCACAGCTGTGCGCCACAACCCTTGCCAAGCGTCACCCCACCAGACCTGAATCTCAAAATTGTCGAAATTGGAAAAAAGTTCGCGATCTCGAGACCTCCAACCAAGCATACAGCCGCCATCTTTCAGCCTTCATCACTTTGCCGAACCGGTACGTCGCATTTCACTGCTCGATGCCATTGAAACATAACATTGTTTCCTTGACCTTTAGGGAAGCAGGAAATGTAAGCGACCAAACTAACTAACTGCGCGCAGTGTTCGAGTCGTGAAGGCACTTTCCCACCTCCAAAATCAACCAACACCCCATCCCTCGAACCACCGAGACCCAATTCGCCAAAATGTCTTACAACAAGCCCGAGAAGGACTTCGGAGAGGCCCCCAAGGTCCACAAGATCCGTCCGTAGCCCCTTCCCTCTTGCCCCGAGGCCCTGAAATGAACCGAACCGAACACCTCACTGACAATTCGGATACACAGGCATCACCCTCACCTCCCGCAAGGTTCAGGCCCTCGAGAAGGTCTGCCAGGAGCTGATCGAGCGTGCCAAGACCAAGGACCTGCGCGCCAAGGGCCCCGTCCGTCTGCCCACCAAGACCCTCAAGATCATGGTGCGTTGAAACATGTCTATTACTACCAAACCGATTGTCAGGTCGGTTCGGGATGAATGAATGAAATGCTAACGGGGCAATCCCCAAACCGCAGACCCGCAAGACTCCTTGCGGTGAGGGTTCCAAGACCTGGGATCTCTACGAGATGCGCATCCACAAGCGCCTGATCGACTTGACTGCTCCCACGGAGATTGTCAAGCAGATCATCATCAACATTGAGGCTGGTGTTGAGGTTGAGGTTACCATTGCCGCTTAAGCGGTTTAGCATTGGAGCCGAGGGCCTGGGAGGAGAAAAAAAGGTAGGAATAAGTGGGACAGAGCGAATGGTATCGAATCACGAGATACTAGGGAGATATTCCTTGGGCGTGTTGTAGCGATAATACATTTGCTGTCTCGCACATGTGGTCCGTGATTTATGCTGTGGTTTCGGTTGTGAGAGATATGTGACCCCATGCCAGGGAAACACAACGTAGCCCGGATGGGTGAAAGTGTCTCGGTTGCTTCCCTTTCTCCTTTGTGAGGCTTGCTAATTTACAACATAAATGTACAAGTTACGCGAAGCCAACGGACCTAGAAGCCCGTGGCGCCTCTCCAGGCTCTATTCTTGTCACACACACTCCTACTCCCTCCTAGTCGTCTCGTTAGGCTCCGTTGACTCCGTTGACTCCGTTGACTCCGTTGGCTCCGTTGACTCCGTTGACTCCGTTGACTCCGTTGAGCCCGCCGGCTCCTCTGGCTCATCCAATCCAAAGTCCTCATCAACGTCTTCCATATCGTCATACGGTCGTGATCTATCACGCCGCGGAGAAGCAACCGTCTTCTCCGACTCATCAAAAACCGGCGAGTCCGGTATCAACGGCGAGGGCCCAAACCTCGCCCTATCCATCGAAACCCGAACAATCTCACGTTCCCGCCGCTGGAACTTCCGCCAGTCCGTCCCCTGTTTCGGCCACGCCCCCGGAATCGCCTTGGGCCGCATGTGCTGGTCGAGACGAAGCATGGCGCGGTTGTACTCGTATTCGTTGACATAAGTCCCCTTCAGCCAGCGACCGCCCTGGTTCCCGGTGGCAAACGCGCGGCGACCGTGGAGGATGTAGCGGTTGTTGAAGATGACACATTCGCCTTCCTGCAGCTTGGTTTCGAACATGTGCGTGTTGGACTCGGCGAGTTCTTGGAACCGGGCTGCGGCGCGCTTCCAACGGATGAAGTTCCGAACATGCTCGGCCTTTTGTGGGGGGCGGAAGGGCTGCTGGAACGGCGGCGACCAGCGCGTTTCGGCCTGGGAGGCGTCGGGGGAAAGCAGGATTGTTGGACTCGTCCGTGTGTAGTCGTGGCCGTTTTTATTGTAGCCGTGCGTGACGGGGTGGGTTTTCAGGGTAGTGCGACTCCATGGTGTGGCTAAGTGCAGCTCGACGGCGGCGCGGGCGCCGTTGCTGAACAGGGACTCGCCACCCTCAGCGTCGTTGGATAGGCAATGCAGGAGCTGCAGGTGGGGGACATCGGGGTAGTAGAGGAGGTCCTGGTGTAGACCCAGGAACTGGCTGGTGTACGCTACGTTCTCAGCGTTGGGCTTCGAGCGCACATCCCAGGTTCGGCCATAAAACGTCTCCATGATTGGGCCGATTTGCTTCGCGATGCGCTCGACAGCCTCTTCGTCAGAGGGCACGCCGCGCACAAAGATCAAGCCCATCTCACGGAGGTCGTTGAGGGCTCGCCAGAATTGATCCCCGCCAGCCATCCAGTCCTGGTAATCGACTTTGCCGCGACCCTGATCCAAAAGGCCCTCGAACATGGGTCGATCCCAGAGAAGTCTGGCGCCGGGCGAGTGCCGATACATAGGAGCTCTGTCCCATTTCTTCAAGTACTCTACCGTTGCAACGGGGTACACAGAGATATGTTGGGCCCCGCCGCTCAGGGGGTCGTTGGCCCAAACGACGCGGAGCGAACCGTCGTTGTCCAGCTGGGCTGTCTCGATCTCAGGGTTCTCTGGAAGGCTGGTAGTCGAGAAGTTCTTTTGTCCCGAGTCTGGGTCGACACAAAGGGGACAAGGGCACGAGTCGCGAAGCCAAAGGGTGGATATCAGAGGCTTATGCTTTTGACGGGCTTTGGCTTCGGCTTTGGCTTCGGATGCGGTGTCGACTTCGCCTTCGGAGTCATGCTCGGCTTCAGCTTCTGATTCAGCCTCGACTTCAGGTTCAAGCTCGACATACGCTGCTTCCTCGGCAGCTGGAAGCGTTATTCTAAGATAGCTTTCGCCGTATTCAACCTCTCCAGCATCAGTTTTGACTGTGACGAAGCTTCCGGTCTTGGGGTTGAAATCATCGAAGGACACTTTGTCTTTATCCCATTCATCCTCTCTCCATTTCCACCTCTTAAATTGATAGGTAGTGGCTTGATCGGTCTCTGCTGGCGGCGGTGGTAGTCCAATTTTCCCAAGCCTCCTCAATGCGTGCCGTAGCGCCTTTGCCTTCCTTACCCTCTGACCTCCAGGACCCTCTTTCCACGGTTGAGTGTCTGCCCCATGACTTTTCCATGGCGGTTTTTGACCGGCCCTCCATGGAGGCGTATAATATTCTCGGCGGGGCGCATAATTCAGGGTGCAGGTCGTGGGGATCGAAGATTGTAAGCCGGCTAGGCGCCGGATGGCGGTTTGGGACGCTGGAACCGAGGCCGTGAGCCGGGCAGCTGGGAGTCGCATGGCCAACAGGCCAGCGCGGTAGGATCCCGAGACTCGGGAAGCCATGGGAAACGGCGTCAGGAGGCGGCGACAGGCAGCGTACCAAAGGCGACAGGGAGAGACAGCCAGCCGGCCGAGGAACCATGGAAGGTGTTTGAAGGTGAAGGTGATGGTGGGGTCAAAACTTCTGCCGTTTCTCACCGCCCTCCGGCCCGGGCCGAGGTAAGTTCATGGCGGAGCAGTTGACAGCCCTCAAGACCAACAGATAGAAGAAGGGGGTAGGAGTAGAGGAACGAAGAGATGCTGGTAAAGACGTGGGGCATTAAGGTGCTGGGAGAAGAAGACGGAAGGAGGGGGGGGGG